AAGATACTGTATACAGCTCATTCTTAATCTAAAGAAATAAAAATCTACAAGGTCCTAATAAAGTGCATACTCAAAACGACGTATAACTTTTTTTATACATATACAATACAGAAATGTTTTTTTAATGCTTTCTGTAAACGTAATATATTTGTCAAGATAATTTAAGTTGTCCGTAAGCATGACCTCTGCATTATACAAACTGTTAATATTATCACTGTAAAATTGTTTTCGCTACATGATTAATAGTCAGAAACAGACGCCACAAAGTACAGATATACACATTCCAGTTGATCATTTCTCATTTACAAACACTAACCTATAGATTCAACATTTTTGAATCGTTCTCATTATTTCTGAATTTTTATAAGGATATTGAAAATAAAAATATTTAGCGGTTTGTTGCCTGCTAGTATTCTCCATGTACTTATTATTACGCGGACAGAAAATCGAAAACGAAACAAGGGACACAAAAATAAAGCGTAAGGACTTGTGTTTAAATGTTTAATTTTATAACTCTTTACATTTGTGAAACAATTTTTATTTTGGACAATATGCAATGATAGAGAAAATGTGAACACACACAATTAGCGATGTTTAAGAGGTTATATTAACAGATAGAAAGAGGAAGTGTACAGTACCTGATAAAGTTTTGTACTTATCTAACATTTGCCCCAGTTAGACGAGTATTTCGTTAAAGAAGGATTGATTGTAAATTGATACAAGTTTTCTTAAAGAATTAATGTTGTGCTACATGTAGTATTATGCACGTAAACATAATTAGATCTTATAGAATATACCTCTAAAAATGTTTGGAATGTTGTTTTGAAATCATAAGCTTTAGGTACGTTATTTTGTGTTGTTTTATCAAATTAACCATAGGAGCTTGAAATTCTATCAATAATGGCTCTAAAGTCCGATTAAAAAATCCATACCTATATATAAAAATATAAAAACTTTAGAGCGATTATTGATAAAAAATATATAGGTATGGATTTTTTTAAATCGGACTTTAGAGCGATTATTGATAGAATTTCAAGCACCTGTGAAATAATAGATACCAGAGTGAGTATACCTGATAAAGTTTGTACTTATCTAACCTTCGCCCCAGTTAGACGAGTATATCGTTGAAGAAGTATTTATTGCAAATTGATACACGTTTTCTTATCAAGGTTTTATTAAAGAATTAATGTTGTGCTACATGTACTATTATGCACGTAATTAAATCTATACTGAATACCTCTAAAAAAAGTTTGGAATGTTGTTTTGAAATAACAAGCCTTAGGTTTTTTTTATATTGTGTTGTTTTTTTATGATATTTACATAGTAATATGTACTTTTATTGAACATACATGTAAAATGGTATATTATAGCAACGAAAATGATAAATTATTCTAAGATTTGTTAGCACGTGGTCCGCAAGAATGTTAACACATTTGTACAATTACAGAATGCTACTATACTATTTCTCTGACAATGTATGCTCTATTGAAGCAAGCGCTGCTACGGAAATTGGCTTTATAATTTGCAGGGAAAAAAACTAACTTTTGGCTACAGTAGAGATAGGTATAGTATACAAAATGTATTTTGTTATTCTGTCCAGATTTATAAACATGGCTGAGGGTGTTGATTTGGCTTCAATAAAAGATGGCTCGGATGCTGACTTTGTGTACACGTGTACACCATGTGGGGAAGATAATGTCAGAGAAGAAGCTGTCAAGTATTGCCCCGTATGTGAGGAATATCTGTGTTCTACATGTACCCGACATCATGGTCGACAAAAAGCTACACGGTCACATGTGTTAATAGATTGTGATGTTTCAACAAAAGGGTCAACGGTAACCATGGTTACCAAGTGTCGTTACCATCCAGATCGTGACATTGAAATGTTCTGTGGAGAACATGACATGGTGTATTGCACGAAATGTATTGCCAAAGATCACAGGTTTGTTTATAATTACAAAATGTATCTTTCTTTCATATTGTACAATATACAGTATATGAAACAAAGCTTTCTCTTTACAAGAAATAATAAAAACGCAAGATATTTCTCAGCTTTTCCAACTGCAGAAGGCCAAACAAGTTCCTCTTTGAAAACACTAATCATGAATGTAGCAAAAATCAGCCGACTTCAGGGTTTAATTTGATGAAGAAAACAACGATTACATACTTCAATAAAATTGGGAAAAGAAAAGCTACTTAGATGTATCAGAAAATATATTGCATTCTCATTAAAGTGGTTGTACATATTTCTTCAACCATCTTAAATAGCAGTTAAATCACGGATCTTAATCACATACATGTATAAATCAATTCATGGTTGAAATGAAGAAGAATAAAATGATGAAATGATTTGAAATCTAAAGTACATTTTTAAAGCCTATGTTTAAGCTCAACTAGATAGCTATGCTCATCCCGGCGTCGGCGTCCAGATTTCCGATTAAAGCTTTGGTGCAGTAAAGTATTTTTTTTATTTCTCAAAGTATCAACTTCAAACTTAATAAACATGCATGTGTTCCTTTAATATCATCACCCGCATGTGATGGTCCAAGTGTCATAACTCCATAAAGAATTTTTCAGAAATATCTCCCCTTGAACTTAGGTTTTTCCTTAATTTATTTTTGCTACAAGTTGTATAACATCTTTATTTAATAAGGTATCAACTTCAAACATCATGGGTATGTTTTTTTTATTAACAACCACTTCATATGTGACAATGTTTTAACCCTAGCATAAATATTATCAGAATTATCTTCCCATGAACTTAGATTTTCCTTCAAACTGTTCTTTTATAATAATTTCTAAATTTGTTAAGGTATCGACTTCAAAGCTCAAATTTCTGTTCCTTATCATCAACCATATGATATGTGTAAAGATTCGTAACACTAGAGCACATTCTTTCTGAATTATTCTCCCTTGAACTAAGAATTTCTATAAAAAACGATATATTTTACTATAACTTCTTCATTTCTTACGGCATCTACTTCAAACTTCAAATAGTTGTTACTTATTATCTCCAACATCACATGTGACTATAGAATAATTATTTCCAGAAATACCCCCCCCCCCCTGAACTTTGAACTTTTATTGGAAAATGTAATTTTTGCTTAAACTTTAATATTCAAAGGATTTACTTTTTAATCTTTAATATTATGTTTCATTTCGACTCCCATATAATGATTATACGACAAGGTCCATAACTCTAGCTTCAATATTTTCCGAATTATCTTCCAGTCAAACTAAGAATTTTGCTTATTTTTCTTCTTGAACTTCTTTATTGCTTCAAGGATGTCTTGTTTACTTTTACTGACATGGTCACGTGCATATTATGTGGTGCAAAGATATTGAACAATGAGTGCATACATGATACTGATACAGAAGTATTTATATTTTTTTCTTAGTTTTGTCTTCCTTTACAGCGTCCAGTATTTCATTAGTAGAGCGTGTCTGTCTCCTCTGGCAGCTCTGGTTATTATTATTTGCACAAATGGCATCAATTTAACTTAGCAGGGTTAGTAATACTAAGTAGTGTATTTTCTCATTAATAACAATAATTACATTAAACTTGACGTGACGTACATACTTTTCAAATGTAAACGTATGTAAAATGTTATTTCTTAGAAATAGCTATATCAGTAATATATTTTTCTTCAGATCTTGCAGAGAAGTATCTGATTTAGAAGAAGTTACTATTTCTTCCAACCAGCTAAATGAATTTGAGCGTTTAAATTCCGATATGGGAAATATTCAAACGCGTTTAGAGGAGACTGAACGGAAGATGCAGACGAATTTCAAAAGCGTTGAGGAGCAAAGAAATGACGTAGTTTCACAGGTAAAGGCAATTGAGCGCGACTTGGTAGAACATATTCAGAAATTGAAGCATGAAGCATTGGAAGCTCTAGAGACAGAATATACTTTGATTAAAGAGGAGCTTGCGACAAATATCTCTCAGATAAGTAAAGTTAAACAAGAAATTGAGAAAACAACTAGCCAGCTACAGACAGCCCATAATCTTAATATGAGAGAACAATTTGTTCAGACAAAACTGATACAACAGACTGTAAACGATGCAATGAAACTGTTTGAACAAAGTGAGGATAAAGGTCCTGTGTGTTTACGTTTTACAGATAATTCAGAATTAAAGTCCTCAATTAGAACGTCAACATGTCTAGGGCGTGTACAGAAAGTAACAGAAAATAACAGTATATTGATATCAAAAGACTATAAAGTAAGTTCACGGAAAGAGATTAATATCAAGATGACTAATGACCGTGAACAATGCTACATTAATGATATATGTCAGCTTGCAGACGGTACAATCATACTGACTGACTATTATAATTCGAGGATAAAGAGGCTTGATGTGAATTATAACATTAAAGATTGTTTGGATCTAGAAGCATATCCTAGAGGTATATGTTGTACAGGTAATACTGAGGTTGCTGTGAAACTGAACAACAACACAGTTTGGTTTATATCAGTTGGAAGCTCATTATCTAAGGTGAGAGATATATCTGTTACAGGTGGATGTTACTGGGGAATGACATATTGTGCTGGAGAGCTGTGGGTATCTGCTGGGAATTGTGTAAATGTTTACAGTATGACTGGCACATTACTAAAGTCTATCAGTAATAATGTCAATGGTCAACACATATATAAATCAACTCCACAAATGGCTGCCAGTGAAGATACTGTTATTGTAACAGATGATAGTGATGGTGCTGACTGTCTGATGGTGAAGAGAGAAATGAGAGATAAAAGGCTTGCTAACACATATGGAGTATGTGTAGCCAATGACGGGACCGTGTTCATTTCTGGTAATAGTTCACACAACATCATGATGTTTGATAGAGATGGTAAATGTCAGGACGAATTAGTTGATAATAAAGGTGGTCTTATGAATCCATTAGCTATGTGCTATGACAAAAAGAAAAACTGTGTATTAGTTGCTTCAGTTTCATCGGACAATTTAGTTGTTTTGAGTATATCTCATTAAACAAAGAAAATAGAATTTAGCAATACTCTTTACTGCAGGAAATGTATCTATTCAACATATTAGCTAATACAATATGATGAAATAATTGTGTATATCAATGTTAAATAAATCATGTATCTAAAAAATATCAGTCCGGCAAAACATGCAAAGTGTGTTATATTATATATAATATATAATATACAATATATAAAGACTTGCCATTGAAAAAATGTATAAGCGATATTTAATTGTTTTAACCACTGAGGAATCGGCAAGTGAAGAATAAAAAACATGTGACAATGTAATTATAAAATGTCAACTTTTTAAACAATAGATGTGTCTTATTACTGTTCTATTTATATAGCGGAAATATTGTCATTGTAGCTTTTTAGGTGAATTGTTGTTTTTTTTATAGCCGACAAGTCTCTTTTAAATCTGATATAAATTGATTATGTATATTTTATTATGAAGTACTGATGTGTAAATATATTATTATATTTGAGACTGAAATAAATATATCAATAATAACAGCAGCTGCACCTATGACAATAGGTGTCTTTTCCCCTTGAGCGAGAAACTTTAGACAAATTGCTTACCTGTAGTACTGGTTGAATAAGAGAGTTTGTCTATAAGCTTATAGCTTTTTAAACAATCAAGTTATAATACTTTCTGTATAAATTAATAAAAGCAATAATTTTATAAAAACATGAATACTGGGCCTTGGTTATTGAGCAGAAACACACGTGTCTACTAACGATATGGACATGTACCCATCTTTTAGAAGTCGGTGATTTTATACTATAGTTGTTGATAAAAATATAAGAAATTAAAACGTAATTTTATCATGTTTTCTTTTCATTCAATAGTAAGGATAAACACATTAATATGTCAGGTAAAATAAACACTCACAATGCTATGAGATGACTATCACTCTAACATTTATTTGATTTTATTTGATCTTAGCACAGAATATATATGCATGTACCCAAAGAATTTAATCAGTTTAAATTTATGTAATCACAAAATCAAATATACATTTGAAATAAATACTCCATATTTTATACTGTTATGAATTATAATCAACAAACATAGTATGATTTTTAACATTTACACTGTCAATTTACATAACAATAGGCTTTTTTTTCACAAATGATTGATTAAGTAAGGATAACAGGTTTTATTATAATACTTTTAAATGAAATATTGATGAAATAAAATGCGTTTAATTCCAGACTTCTTTCTTTTAAATTCAGGCAGTACACAACATCACTTATAAAATATGAATTTTATTTTCATATCTTTCGATGAAAATAAATCATATTTTCATAGAAACTAGAACTCTGCGAGTTGGATGTGTTGCCTTGTCAACTGTTTAGCTGCCAGTTAGGCATTTTCTTCTTAAATAGAGGTTATATATAACATTTAACATTAGTGGCTTTTTGAACTGATTGTAAGGATGTTACATCAGGATGAATAAAACTGTTTTATTATCAAAAATAAAAAAAAAACATGGAAAAGTTTTACACTGACAAGACTCTGATGGACTTTTTAGCACTGCACTTCAGGTCAATGAAAAAAGCTTACATACCAAATTTGGAGTCAAACTTATAGTGACTAAGTTATGCTATAGACAAGCGTATTAAGTAAGAAAATGAATGGGCAATAACTCAAACATCATTAAGTGCAGAGTATAAGTTCTTGTGCACTGCTTTCTTCTCAATGAAATCCATTATCCTATGAAGTTTCAAGTCAATAGCTTTTAAAGTGTAGGAGATTTGGCCTGGACAAAAATTAAGTATTAAAATCAACAAATGGCAATAACTCGAAAATCATGAAGTACAGAGTACTGGCTTTAAAGCACTGCACTTCTTCTAAATGAGATCTATTATCCTATGAAGATTCATGTCCATAGCTAGTTATAGTTAAGGAGAATTTGAAATGTCCCGGACAATTATAAAGTATGAAAATTATCAAAGGGCAATAACTCAAAACATAAGAAGTGCAAAGTACCGATTCTTATGCACTGCTCTTCAGGTCATTGAACGAAGCATGTAAGAAGCAAGACTATGGGGACGCCGCGACACTGCCACCAACAAAAGTAACCCTATATGACGACTTTTTCAAGGTGACACAAAAACATGAATTTCCTCTATGTACGTACCAATGGATATGTAGGCAATCTCTTTATGTTTGTTCTCTTCTTTTAAAGTACATGATATAAGATTTAACATTCAATAAAAAATATCAACATGTTTTTCTAACAAATAACCAGTTAAAACTTGTCAAAAAATAACCATGATGATAGTATTCTAATCTAATTTAACCACTGAAGCTTCACTCGCCATGTTTGCTAATGTACTTAATGTCTGTTCTTCACCATCGTTCATGACCAAAATATTTCCACTACTAGAATCCTTAATATGTTCCACTTGTTGTATCTGCTGTATAACTCCTCCCTCTACAATCCCACCCTCCTGAACATGCTACAAATAAAATAAAATGTTGTTTGTTATGTCAGTCTCACCCTACTGAGCATGCCACAAAGAAAAATATAATTTTAAATAAATGTTGTTTGTTCAGTTATAGAGTACATTTCTTGTCTGTAACTTTTTCATCGATCATGGTATCATTTGGTAATTTACCAATTGATGACATTTTGTATTTTGTTTGCTTGAACCTTACTTGGCATCATACCCTGTAAGACTTTGACTTCCAACTGTGACCTTGACCTTTTAGATAGGGGTCGGATTTGGGCATGACACATCATCTTATTATTGTAAATATTAATTTGTGTTAAGTTTTTACAAAATCCCTTGACTGATGAACAAGTTATGAACTGGACACAAAATACTTTCTTTAACAGACCGTGTTAAGGTTTGACCCCAAAGTGTGACCTTGACCTTGAAGGTTGGGATTCATGTGTTGTGCCTTATCCATAACTTACAGTCTCTTAATAGTGAACATCTGTACCTAGCATTTTAAAATCCCTTGGACGATGAAAAAATTATGGACGAGACACAAAATTTACCTTCCAACAGACAAAATGTTGACCTTTAATCACCAAGTGTGACCTTTTCTATGACCATTTCATATAACATACATGTACCAGAACTTTAGTAGATATAATAATAATAATAATGATAATAATAGTGGTAGTAGTAGAAAAAATAATGACTTTATTTCAAGACACATTACATTTAGTCAAGCCCTGTCTTCCCTATGAGCCTATATCAAATATGTTCAGTAACAAAATGATATTATTCTCGTATCGGATATAGCTTGAATGAGCGTGTATGTATGGTTTCTGTACCTTAAGTTAAATATGGAGTGATACCTTAAATATTTTCTTTTAACGTGCACGTGTATTTCGTGGGTTAGTGGGGGTATATATATAGTGTTTTTCGCGGTTTTTCTTCACTCAACGCTTGCATTTGGTGGTACTTAAATAACCTGTTTAAATACGCCCCACCCGACCCCATCCCTTCTTACAACAAACGTTTTTGTAATGAAGTATTTTAATACACATAATTCTTGCTGAATACTAAGGCTTTTTCATTATTCTTCACATGACACACAAAAAATCTTTTCTTGAAATATAACTTATTAAAGTTGCATTATTTAATGAATTTCTTTGTTTTAATGAGCATAACTTGTTATTTAATATTTTACAGATTACACAATATTATTCTGTTTTGTAATATTTTGTAACCATGTATTCAGATCTGTTTTAGTTTCATTTCAGAGTTTCGGATACAGCAAGTGCCAACATTGCTATACATCTGATGAATCCCAAATACAAGAACATAACAGATACAAATAAATACCGATTGATTTGTAATATGTACTACCAAATATTAAGCGTTATTCCTATGTAATTGTTGTTGTTTCTTGCTATAGTAGATTAGAGAATAATTGATTTACTCTCGACATAAGAGAGAGTAACAGTGTTTTTTCGTAAACAACAAAAGATTTACAAATTGTTATACAGCATACAAAAACAAGTTACTGAAAAAACTGTTTTAAGAAAATATGAATGTGAACATTTAGAATATAAAATTTACTTTATTGGCCATGTGTGACCTTTATCTGAACTGTGTTTCCCACAAAAGTTCCTTTTCAGATTATTATTTTTGACTGTCTGTAAAATGGTGGAATTTCTTACATTTATTTGGAGAGAGTTCCAAACTCTTGAGCCTGAATATGATAGAGATTTTCTGCAGAAATCAAGTCTTGGTTTTAGGATTGAAACTAATTTTTGCTCATTAGATCTTAATTGTTTATAGTAACTGACAAATGTAGTATTATCTTAAAATAATGTGTATGAAAAAGAAATACTTTTACCTCAGTAACTTGTAAGTTAGAAGACTCAATAACTTGTAGTTCCTCGCCTGATCCTGCTATACTATATCTTGTGCCATCAGGACCTTCAATCACTTGTGTTTCCTGTAAATAAGCTGCCTCCCCTCCTTGTCCTAAGCCTACAAAACACATAAGATTTAGTTACTATAATGTGTTCATTTTTAATGTGACGAACAGTTGTCCCCAGTTATCAGTAAGGCTCCCACGTTTACAATTTTTTGTAAACGTTTACACGATTGCTAAGAACCGAAACGATACCGTTTAAACGGTGGTACCTCTATGTACTATACACACCATGTATTTGAGTCGCCAAATGATGTCTTTCTTTCTATTTTTTACACGTGTACAAATAAAGAATACGCAGGGCTCATCACGATTGAGTCAGCACACACGCTTTGCATTGTAACCCCCTTTTTTACCAAAAATGTATTATGTCACGAGCAATTTTGCACCGTAATGCTGTGTGGAGGGTTGTAAACACCTATTTTCCGTTTGTTTACTTTGGAATAAACCACTAGAATTGATAAAATCCATGATTACATGCAATGATCAAGAAATTGTATGGGCATTTCGATTAAACGGTTAACAATATCGTAAACGTTTATGAATGAAAATCGAAATGAATCCGTTTAAACGTGTAATCGTGGGGGCCTTAGTTATCAGTAACCTTGACCTTACATATATTTTTGTTTGTTTGTTTCATTTTACACCTTTTCCCAACAGTATTTCAGTCATATAGGCGGGTAGTTTCCTAACCATCGTTCCTGGAGAGTTACAACAGTACTAGACTACCTTCCTCCGTGCTAAACTACCAACGCATTTTCCAGGGATCGAACACACGCCAGAGAGGTCATCGACTAACCCCTCAACCAAGAAGGTTGTCCCTTACATATATAAAGGATATGGATTATACTTAAACATTCAAGTCTTTTTGTGGTGAACATTTTGTCAGGAGCTTATCTTTTGCATCCATTGAAGGATTTTATTATAACTTGTAACAAAAAACAAAAGATGTTCAACAACATAAGACATATCTAGAGAATGACTTCTACATACATTGAGGAAATATGACTGGGAACAAATATGACCACTGTGACGCTGAGTGCCTCGACATATGTTGATATACTTCATGATACAAAGCTACTAGTTTACCCAGCAACATAAGACCAAATTTACCTAACACTCTACCTTTAAACTACAAGTAACGTAACATATTGTTTACCTATAAGGTATACTTGTTGTTGCCCATCATTTTCTTGTTGAATTACATCTACATGTAGCTCATTTTGTCCTCCCTCCACTTCATTTCCCTCCACAATTTCTAATAAATCTTCTTGATGTTCATTCTCAGCTTTCACAATGACTGGAAATCCATGTGATGCACGTCTTGTTGTCACTATTAACTCCTTGTTGCCCTTGGCAACGTGATGACGAGACTTAATGTGACGTTTCAATTTATCATTACGATGAAATGACTCACCACATATGTCACACTGGAATGGTGTTTCACCTGAGGGAGATCAAGAAATACACAAATATGACTTTGGATCCTACAATCAACTGTAACCCCCCCAACAAATGAGCAAAAATAGCTGAAGTGGAAGAACTCTATATAAAATTAAATTTACATAACTTCATAGACATTTAAGAAAACATTATATCTATTTTACTTTTTCTTCATTCATAAAAAGCTGAAAATGTTGTACATTTAGTACAATATACAGCCTTTAAAGGATTAATACCATATACTGAGATCTATACAATTAAAAACATTCTTAACTCTATTCAGGTTAACAGTCGGTGACCATACCTATTAAACCACAGGGGCCTTAACAAAAGTATTACCAATATTAAAGCAATGGTTATTTGTAAAGTAAAATACCTGTATGAACAGCTCTCATATGATGTTTAAAGCCAGTCACTTCTGTATACTCCTTGTTACAATATTCACATTTATATGGTTTTGGTCTTTCTCTAAGGTCTATGTGCACAAGCATATGTCGAACTAAACTCCTACAGAAAAAATCAAATTTTTTTCTGTTACAATATAATTTTTTAAGAAATATAAATTAAAACTGTTTGGGATTTGCTGTCTGTAGGTTAAGTATATCAGCAAGCAGATTTCTTACAAGTTATCAAATCTGCTTTTGACCCAAGTAACAGCAAATATCCTCACACCTTTTAGTGAAGTCAGGGAAAATAACAAATGGTTTAAGAGATAATACCTTTGAACCTTACAGAAAATATATTTTGCCCAAAAACTGAACATTTGAAATCTTCATTCTGTACATCTAATGCTTGTTGTATTAACCAAATATGATGTGAGCTATGACAAAAGCAAAATTATTTAGGCATTTCTCAAGACGACTCGCAATACCCTGGAGTTTTAAGTTATCATGTATTTTACGTTTTACACATTTTGACATACTGACAAAGAAACTTTATGTACAAATTGTATAAAATACAAATTCAAAATATAAAATATTTTCTTACTTAAGCTATAACCTATTGACAGTAACTTATTCTACCCTTTTGAGCAGTGCATGCAGACAAAGGTAATCTGACATGCATGTTGTCTGATCATGGTTTGCACTGTTTGCTATTCAGTCAGTATTTATTTTGTAAATTTCACTACAAATGTTAAAAGGTCTTGTCCAGATTGAAAGATAGACCAGTCAGTTTAAGACATTAGGGTGGTAAGAGCCGACATCAGATAGTATGATATATACATACCTGTAGTAGATGAAATCTTTGCCGCAGGTTTCACATTTGTGAGGTTGCTCTCCGTCATGTATCTTCGTGTGATCTTTAAAATGTTTACGACTCATAAATCCTTTACCGCATACGTCACAGATATACGTCTTATGTCCCCAATGGACCACCATATGCTGGTTGCGTAAAGCAGTTGATGTAAAAAATTCTGGAAACAAAACTCTTCTCTCAGACACGACATTTAAATGGCTTCTCACATTTGTGTACAAATTAGAATAGATTAACGAGGATACTAAAAATATTGGTATATAGATGAGAGTATTATCAAAAATGGACAGTTAGTCATACAAAGTAACATATAACTACAATGTTACTTTTGTCACATATACAATTAGTAACATTCATTAGATGAAAACATAGAATTGACAACTTGAGGAGAAAAAAATCTTTCAATTTTACAAATGTGTACTTTTTCATTTTAAAATCTCCAAATCTATCAAACTGTTGATATGGTTACAACCATATAACCATTAAAATTTGCTAGCAATAGTAATCCACTAGAGGTCATCAATATATAAAGTCAGGTCTGCTGATTGGTCATCTAATGGTCAGTTTCAAAGTAATGGGAAAGACAGTCCATTTTATAGATTGAGTGATGTAAGAAAGGACAACAAGTGACAAACCAACTTATCAGCAGTTTCGAAAAAGTAGATACTGAACAGATTGAAAAATGTGGTACACTTTTTCAGACATATAGAAATGATGGAAATGCATTCGATGGACAGACATATAAAAAATACCAGCCGGGATCTTCATAATTATTAGCTTGCTATACACCAACTTTGATTACAATATCTCATTCCTAACTCTAGTTATTTCTGGGAACGATTTTTCTATAATAAGTAACAGTGACATTGACCCCAGGGGTCCAAATGCGATTCCAGCACGGGTCTTCATATAAGCTTGCTAAACACCAAGTTTGATTACAATATCTCAATCCTAACTCTAGTTATTGTCCGGAACCATTTTTCTATTTTGTTTGTAACGGTGACCTTGACCTTGACCCCAGGGATTCCGAATGCAGGACCAACCAGGATTCCCTGATAAGGAATATAGTTTTATTACAATACTTCATATCAAACTCTAGTTATCGTCCGGAAACCATCATGTGGACAAACAGACTGACAAGCTGGTTCCTATAGACCCCCTACATGTAAATGATATAGTTCGCTAGGAAAAGACGTCAACGGCGGAAATTCTTCTAACATTGAGGTATTTTATTCGACTTAACAAAATGAGACCATTGTCACTCTGAGCTCAGCTCCACATACATATGTTGATAAATACTTTTTTATGATACAAAGCTACTAATTTACCAAGCAACATAACAGCTTATTGTTTACTTATAGGTAGACTTGTTATTGCCCAACATTTTCTTGTTGTATAACGTCTACATGTAGCTCATTTTGTCCACTCGCAACTTCATTTCCCTCAACAACCTCTAGTAAATATTCCTGGTGTTGATTCTCAGATTTGACAATGACTGTAAGTCCATGTGACGCCCGTCTTGTTGTCATTATTAATTCATTGTTGCCCTTGGCAACGTGATGACGAGACCTAATGTTACGTTTCAGTTTATTTTGAAGATGAAACTACTCACTGCATGTGTCACACTGGAATGTTGTTTCCCCTTGGAAAGAAAGAAAAATAAACAAATATTACTGTGAATGTAAAACCCGATTAAAATTGTACAAAAATGCTAAGCTTGGAAGAAATCTAACTGAAAATAAATAAACATAATTTCAAAGACGTTTTAGGAAATATTATATCTTTTTCACTCTCTTTTCAGCCAAATGAAATAAAACTGTAAATGTTATACAATATACAACCTTTAAAGAAAAACTAAATAAGTTGTTAATTTTGCGACGTGGAAATATTTGCGATCTTTGCAAATTGAAATCATTCGCAAATAATTGATCACGAAAAATTATTTCCTTTTAGGCAAGTTTTCTGCTCTCAAATAAAACACGTTACAAAGATTTGATATTTGACGACTCAGGTACTGATATTAATTTTTCATTGCTTGTTTGATTAAGTTTGGTCTTAACAAAGCGCAAATATTTCAATGAAATAATACATGTGTTAATGACATTGTTATTAATATAACAAAAGAATGTTTCATTATATGACAAAGAAATGTGTGATCAGGTCCTCTATCAAGCTAACAATGTATATTTCATACAAATATAAAAATAACAAGAGCCATGTTAGCATGGCCATCACCCGCCGAATATGTTTGTTCATTGTAAGAATGTATATGTAGTAGAGCAAAATAATTCAATCTAAAGAGGTCTTTTGGTAATGAAAACTGATGGCTGAAGTGATTACAGATTTGAAACCTACGTGAATACTGATGGCTGAATATAACAAAGGGCAGTAACTGAAAAAAAATGCAGGGTAGGTTATCATTCTTGTGTGTTGCACTTCTCCTCAATGAGATCTATCCACCTATGATGTTTCAAGTTGATATCTCTAACACATTTTGAGGTAACCTCCGGAACAAAAAGTATGAAAAAATAACAAAGGTAACAACTCAAAAATTATAAAGGGTAGAGTTTTAATTCTTGTGCACAGCATTCCTCCTTAATAAGATCTATCCACCTATGAAGTTTCATGTTGACATCTTTAAGACTTTTTGATTTATGCTCTACTCAGGTGAAAAATTAAGTATGAAAAATAACAAAGGGCAATAACTCAAAAATTATGAAGGGTAGTGTTATCATTCTTGTGCACTGCACACTACCTGAGAGAGATCTATCCACCCATGAAGTTTCATGTTGATATCTCAAAGGCTTTTTGAGTTATGCTCTGGACAAAAATTAAATTTGAAAAAAAACAACAAAGGGCAATAACTAAAAAATTATGCACGGTAGAGTTATTATTCTTGTGCACTGCACACCTCGTCCATATGATCTATCCACCTATGATTTTTCAAGTTGATACCTCTTACACTTTTTGAGATAAGCTCCGGACAAAATAGTATGCAAAATAACAAAAGGAAATATCTCAAAAATGATAACGCGTAGAGTGTCTATCTTTGCGCACAGCATTCCTCCTCAATAAGATCTATCCACCTATGAAGTTTCATGTTGACATCTAAAAGACTTTTGAGTTATGCTCCACTAAGGTGAAAAATTAAGTATGAAAAATAACAAAGGGCAATAACTCAAAAATTATGATGGGTAGAGTTATCACTCTTGTGCACTGCACAATTCCTGAGTTAGATCTATCCACCCATAGGTTTTATGTTGATAACCCAAAGGCTTTTTGAGTTATGCTCTGGACAAAAATTAAGTTTGAACAGTAACAAAGGGCAATAACTTATAAATTATGCAGGAAAGTGTTATCATTTTTGTGCAATGAATTACTACTCAATATGATCTATCCACCTATGAAGTTTCAAGTTCATATCTCAAATACCTTTTGAGATATGCTCAGGACAAAAATGTCGGACGGAAGGACGGAGGACAGACAGACGGAGACTATTTCTATATCCCCGCCGCCTTTCGGCGGACGGTAGTTAATGTGTAAAATTAATTAATAGAACGATAACAATAACAACATATTCTTAACATGTACCTGCTTAATTAAAGATATCACAAAACAGTATTAATTTCAATACATCATACTTTGGCAAATGTTTCGCACGCATTGGTCCACAACGCAACAATATCCACTTATACAGTATTATATTATAATAGAAATAGAATGTACTCTATATGCAACTAAATATAGTCTTGATACTATTAAGGCAAACATTAATACAGCTTTTAGGGTTAGTGGTACCGAGGAAAAGGACATAATCTTTCAACGCAACTTAAAACTATTTTTAAACTGGAATATTTACTATTTATATTTGTCATGTTTTTACGACTTCAAGTGTTTATTCCCTTTTAACTTCAATCTCAAGACTTATTCGGATATTAACTTGATCAACACTTTCGCGGGTCATGAATAGAAAACAAAATAATTTATATCTATTTGGAACCATATCTTACGACTTCTAAGAAAGATCTAAAATGATGTATGTTACGAATGATGTTCTGTAATAAAATGTACGATTCACAGAATAAACCATTGAAATATAAAAAGGACCGCAAGAATGCATACAAGCAAAACATTTTCATAGTAAAATCGAATCTTACAAATCATATTTTACTTTTTTGTATCGCAAATGTACATTACTTAGAGATAGATAAATTATCTTTTAAAAAGTTTTGAAGCGGTTTTGTACAGTAATTTGGTGGTGCGCAACCTATGTGGGCGTGAATTCGAAAGCGAAACTAGAAAAAAGAAAATTAAACAATGAAGATAATAGTAAGTTTTTTATGTTTGATTATATACTAACATTGATGCATTTTTAGAATACATTTAAAAAACAACATTATATAACGTTAGAGAAAGTTTAAAAGAAACGTTAATAAAAAGGGAGCGAACTTATTGAAATTTGAAAAAAAGTTCTTTGACCTTCACGTTTATGAAATAATTTCTTCGGTAGAGTTTGTTCTAAATAAATTTAAACACATTTTATTGAATTCAAAGTACAGTACCACAGTACTAAAGTACTTTTAAACTTATACATGTACAGTTGTGTTAAACGTATACATGTACAGTTTTGTAAAAATAAACATAGATCTAGATTTTTATGACTAAAAACTAATAAAAATAACCATAAATTCTTTCTTACGGTTGACTTAATTGTGTTTGGGTTGGGAATGATTCTCAGACGGGGGTACAAGAGATGGGGTGATGTGCAATGTGGTTGTCTCTTAGTCGAAGAGTCTTACGTGCTTACTCTTTAACTTTCATAAAATTTCCTCCCTATGATGCCTAGTTGCACACAGAAACTCACTTCATAAATCCCGACTTTCAATATTCCTTCATTTCAGTTAAAATTCAGTAAAATATGCTTGTTGAATATAGGATATATCTTTATCATTTTTTTACTTTATCTTTAAACATACCAACATTTCAGGGAGATGTAAGCTATTTGTCGTTTTGCATTACATTTCTTAAAAAAAACATGTAAAATGAATATTTATTAAACATTTAAGTAAGTATGACGTCCTTCAAACTGTTAAAGGAACTCCACTGAGGTTAATAAGCCTAAAACACATTTTTGGGTCATTTTTCG